GCCATACCAGAGACTCCGTTTTAACAGCTGCAGAGTCCAAAATATGGACTATCTTGAAAACTTAAAAGCTGATGTTAAGAACATCCCTCCTTTTCACACCCACCCCCAGAAAATCTATGCTTCAAGGTCTTAAGCAAGTTGCTCCAGAGAAGAGATCAGTCACCGTATATAAATATAAACGTGCCTCCAATCCTATTGGGTTTTTACTCTTGATTTCACCTTTTAGTCAAGTTCTGCACAAAGCATCCTGCTGGCAAGATACAGTTTGCCAGGCAACACCTTTTGTCCACATCCCTGCCAAAATCAGAAATTGTCAGGCTGCCGACCTCATTCCTTATCTCAGCACACCACAAAGCAGCAGCTAGCAAGAACTCCTGCCTCTCACAGACTCAGCGCACCACAAAAAAGCAGCCAGCTTCAGCTAGCTCCTCCTTTACCTGCCAAATTACTCGACTCTCCCACCCTAAGTGCACACAAAACCTTGCAGAAACATCTGATGGATTAGAGTGGTATAGGACTGAAAACATCAAGCACATTAGGAGGAAAGACTGAGAAGGGAAAAAGAGCTGGGGAGTTTCACAAAAGTAGCTAACCTCTTCTGGAAACTGGCAAAGTTATAGTGGTCTGTTCATTCATGTGGTCCTCATTCCCTTCCACTCAATGTAAAAAGCATTACTGAAACTGCTAGAACAGCCCTTTAGAAAGAGGGCTTCAAACCACTCACATGAAATTAGTAAGTGAGCTCCGGGGTGCCTCCCTTCCCTCCAATACGGTTTCCAGAGGCAGGGAGGCCCTCAAGCAAAACTCATCTCAATCCTAAAGTGTGCAGACAGATTCAAGGAACTGGGGCACTGCTATAATGCAGTCTTAAATGCACTCCAGTGTTGCAGGTGTGACTGCAGACTGAATATTAAATATAATGGGATGGGAGTCAATTTGCTTCAAATCCATAGGATGCTCTGACAAGTATTTGGGTCAAGATGGCAGCAGCCATCCTTGATGCCTCTGAATTTTAACACATGGTATTGGTGACCCAATACATAGCAGGCTTCTTCATGCCTTAGAATTTGCTAGTGGATCACATCAGTGGGGTGTGGTCTGGAACTCTGACACTGCCTGCTAATATGGACACATAGGTTAGAATTTCTTGTTTTCTTACTCAAAAAATATTTCACTGGTGAGAAATGGTTCACCTGCATATTTAATTTCATTCACCAATTCAGATACTACCAGATTTCTTAGTGTTGCTATACTGGAGCTGTCTCATCTGCTTGGCAAACAGCTCTCAATTCCAGCATGTCATAATTGAAGAAGTTTCACCTCACGAAGACAGAGGATGCATCCAATACCAAGATGGACCAATCTGAATTAGACAGTCAAAGGCAGACCAAAGCTTTGCCCCTTATCAATTCTCATTTGCAGTTTAGCCTGTATGAAAGTGTATTTCAACTTCTACACTTCCCTAAACTTCTCATCAAGTATCTAGTACTCATGACATTTCATTTAAGATGAAAACACTTACTGTTTTAACACAGGAATTAAATGAATATAATTCTGAAATTCATGCCAGATGTCTTCCTTCACAGAAACCTGGTAACAATCCCTGTTCTAAATTGTAGAAAGAGAAGGAAAATTTGCTTTTCAAGAACTCTAGGAAACCTGAAAGTGAGCAAGAACAGGACTAGAACTAGAGCATTCTCTCCCCAGCATCCGCAAACACAAGGTAATCTTGCTCCAGGCTACTGAAATCAGAAGTACTGCTCCCAATGCAGTTATAAGGTCAGACATCACATTCTCAATCTCATTTAAACTAAAACCTTTTGGAACAAGACTGATGCAATGTTTTTGCTGGCAGCTGTATGTATGCCTCAAAGCTGAGGAGCTGCTCTCTGATAAAGTAGAAACACCAACTCTATCTCCAATAGTTCCAACCCTGGACTTCTCACCTAAGAATGTAATTTAAATTCAGGATCCTTCTTAAGCATCGCTTTATGCTAGACAGAAGACATCACACCTTCAAACCAGAGGTTGGCAACTAAGTCCTGCTCCATTCTATTCCCAGGCAATGAGTCTTTTGACATGAAGTAGCAGCAATGTAAGCTTCTGGCATATAAAACATCTAAACCAGCATGTAAGGATGTGGGCAATTTGCACATCCATCATTGACCTTGGGGCTCACTTCCCTGTGCCTGCAGCAGCCTCCTAGTTGGGAGAAGCATGTAATCCTTAGGCAACTTTAATAAGGAATGCTAAGTATATGAACTCAGATATCCAAGACAGAGATAAACACTTCGAATAGCCATCCCACTAACTGATCAAGTACCAGTTATATCTTTCCACTCCCACAACAAAAGGTCAGGAAACAGCTATATAAAGGACCTTTTGTTTCAAAGCAAAGAAGTCCTTACCTATAGAGAAGACAGGCTTGTTTTCTACATCAACCAGCCTTCAGCTGAAGACAGCAAGGTGTGGCACCAGCCCAGTCTAGTTTCTTTGGCATCCCCAAGCACACTCAGCATTCTTAAGAGTGAAGAGCAGAGATTGCTTTGAGGTTTGGTCAGCTCAGGAGTGAAAGCAGCAGTTTCAGTAGCCAAGGCTACCATGCTGAAGCAGGGTACTGTACAGATTTAACTATTCAACTACCTAATGTCTTAACAGCAAGCCACCTACTACAGGAAGAAGTGCTGGTCATTCAGATCCAAAGGGGAGGCAAAGCAACCTTCATTCAACAGCACAGAAGTCACCCAAAGACCGTAAGAAGGAAGCCAAAGGATCATTGCTGGGCTTTAAGCAGCCTTTTAGCTTGACTTATTTTGGGCCACTCAATGGTCCCTACACCTCAGGGAGGGTAAGTTGTCAGCAATCACAAACTGAAGTGAGCAACAGCCATGAAGGAAAGCATGGCCCAGTGAATTCACAGAGACAGAGGTATACATTCTGGCAGTCACCTTTTAAAAGTCATACTCTTCATGCAGGGTTCCCTTGTTTTGGGGGAATTTGCTTCAAATTAACAAACTTTATGTAGAATAGTCAGTAGAAAAGATCAAGATTTAAAAAAATCCCATTCTTGCAGTCTCAGAAGTACAGCATCACCTCTCTAGGCCTGAGTATGGCCATTTCTCTTTCTCTTTAGTTTCTTCTTGCAAGGTACCTGAAGTCAAGCACAAAATTGACAGATGCTGTATAGAGCTGAACTGCAGGAAGCCTAAGCAGGGCTTGAGAATCCAACTTGAGACTAGGCACACAGAAGTGTAGTTTTACAACGAAACTATTGAGTGACCAATGCCAAAAACATCCCTTGATATGTAACAGCTTATTCTCACTTTGTGCACAAATAAAAAACTTGTCAGATATGGTCACAAATGCTGTCTCCAGCATGCAGAGAATGATGACAAAAAGCATCCTCAAAAAAGATCGTGATTATTCAGTGTCATATCAGTATTTTCACTAATTGTGTATTAGCAGAATGCAGGTATGAGCACTGGCAACTGAAGTTTTTTGTGTTATTCAAAAAAAGGTACAAGGCTCTGGCTAAAGCCAGTCTTACTGCAGCAGACTAGATGATCAAATTCAGGAGTTACTCTGCTCACCCTCAGCAGGTACAGATGTAGATGAACCAAACACTTGGGAAATATTCCCCTTAGCATCTTTTTGCTGCCAGATTCTTGTTTAAGTATCACCCTTGTACTGATGACACAGTAGTGTCTGCATCAATGTGGGAAAAGGTGGCATAACTTCTTCATGCCATGCTAGAGGAGCCAATATGTCATCAGAACAAGAGAAGAAATCATGTGCTGCATGCCAAAGACAAGTCCTGGGGTTGGTGCCAAACTGCCTGAAGGTTTTTAGGCCTTGTCCTCCACTGTTCATGTACACAGCTGGGGAACATATCTCTCCAGCATACCCAAGCCATCAACACAAATGTGTAATAGGGGCTGAAGCCACACACAATCTGCATCAACTAAAGCTTTTATCTTCCCACTGTTGCTGCTCAGGGAACACCAAGTCAAAGTTTTTATTTAGCATGAGAAAAATCTCCATGTTCTGCCACTACCTTTCAGTAATAGGAAAGTATTGGCTTCCAACCCTTAACCGAAAGTATAGGGAACATGCAGCCTCAAAGAGTTGTAGCTTGAAACACACAAAAGCTAACTAGCACATTCAGAAGTTGCACCCAAAAACATAAGTTAAAGATGTGTTCTTGAAAGCCAGACATTTGAGGACTTTGCAAAAAAAGCCATGAAATAAAAGTACCAAAGTCAACATTTCAGAACAAAACTAATGAAATGTTGACATAAGCGGTACATCAATGTTTTCTGAGAGCTTAAAGTTGAAACATGGAGTTGACAAACTGAACCTTGCCAACTATCCTTTCATTCTTGTTTTAAAGTGCAGGCATCCATCTGGTAGTTCTTTCAAAGTTAAGCAACTGGTCTACATACATGCAACCTGTGCACCAGCTGTTGCTGAAATAAAGTACTGATAGAATACATCACAGCGCAGTTCATACTTGCACTCTCAGACAGCGCATATTGATACAACTGTGCATTCCAAAGAAACTGCTCAAGTGCTGCAATGCAAAAGCAGCTTTACCTACAAGGTAAGGTAGTCTGCCTTTTTCCCAAGGTACAAGTTTAATTACCTGCATTCCTGAAAAAAGAAGTTTTGCATCAGCTAGGGCTAATGAAGTCATGACTCCAATGGAGTTGAATAGAACTCAAGTAAACCTTGTATAAATATCTGTTTTTCCACATCTGAATCTTCTTTCAAAAGACTCCAAAGCTCAGAATATTTAAATGCCTGGATGAAATGCAAATATGAACACTTAGTTTTGGGGTATAGAATCTATATAACAATGAACTTAAGTTCCTTCTGACTAGCAGTATCAGCATTGGTTTCTTCTGCCTTCTATTCCATGGTTTAAGAGAATTGCAAAACACCATCTGACAGCTCACTGCTTGGAATATGAAAAGATGCAGAAAATCCCCAAACCAACATACCTGTTATTTTGTCCCTGACAAGCTTGCAGGATTCAATCTCACCAATGCTGCCAAAGAGACTCTTCAGTTCCTCTTGGGTCATGTTCTGTGGAAGGTAGTTGACGATTAAATTGGTCTTGCTGTCTTCTGTGTTCCCAGAATCAACTGGTGATGAGCAATTGTTTATGGTGGTTGAACCATGGGCTGTGTTATTGCAAGGTGGTCCATTAGACAGTTGTGTTTCCATGGCAGCAATTACCTGCTGAAAAACACAGAAAACAAGAACCATCAAAGTTCCTATTTCACCATCTATTAGGAGAGTCTAGACAAGAATCTACAAGACCTGTCAATATGCAGAAATGGTATTGCCAGGGCCATACACTGCCTCTATATGCAAAAAAAACCCCACCAATACAGAAGGATTTTAACTGTTAGTCAAGGCAATACTTTAAAAAACTTACAGGCAAATTAAGTTGTCACTAAAATCTTCTAGGACCTCTCTCAATGAAGTCAACGCTCAAAAGCTTAGTTTCCATTCTCCCCAATTCCCTTGATTTAAGCCTTTCTAGTATAGACATTAACAAGCAGAATTGGCCTCTTGCAAGGGGAATCAGTTCTATAAACTTACAACTGATAACTGAAATGATATGAAATGTACCTTTTAAAGTGATAGTGTGTGATTATTTTCAAAAAGATGTGGGTGTTAACTGTATCCTGAGCCTATTTCTCATAAGCAATAGCAGAAGCAAGATTAGTGATTTAAGGAGATACTCAGAGATACATGAATGTGCTGGAATGGAAAACAAATTCTTCCTTGATAACCTCTAGGTCAACCTTCTGTCACTCCAGGTTGGATGTAGGTTTCTAAATGCTTTTATTTGATTAAACTGACAATTTCTGTTCTCACTTCTTCCCTCCCCAGCACCATGAAAACAGTCAAATTTGGTATTTTAATTTAATTTACTCTTAGACATCAAAATAAGGGAGTGAACACCACTCCAGGAACTACTGTTTCACCCCTAACTGACTGTATGATTAGCAGATACAGCAGCAATCATTTGGAGAAGTGTCAGTACTTGCCCACAAGCCATCACATGTACAAAAGGTTCTCTGCCATCTCAGTCAGCCACTGAATTGTAACAGCTGGTAAATACAGCGGATTTTTAATGGCAGACTAATAGTATACAAGACTTGGGCAGCCTACCCTGTTTGAGACCAACTATGTAGGACAACCTCCAACAAAAAAATTCTATAAATTAATTCTCCAGTAATAAACATTTCAACTGAGAAGCAATACTCAAGAAGTTTCATTTAAAAAAATCCAGCAATCACTGAAATCCAACCTCATACTCAAATTTCTAGGAGGAGTTCTCACACAAAAAAGCCTACTGTAAAACCCCAGTGTAATGTCAGGACCTCTGGAGGTTATCTGTCCTGTCCTGTCCTGTTCAAAGCAGCACATGCAATCAATGCATACCCAAACAGCTGATTAGTTCAACTGTACTCAAGGAGTGCAAATTTGAATTTCCTAAAAACACGAGGAGTAAGTTGAGTGTCTTAAACTACAATTCAAACATTCCTGGGAAGATATTTCTATGTTCTGCATACAGAAGTATCTTCCAAGAGTTTACTTCAGATCAACACAAAAAAGGGAAGATGCATCTATTAAGAACATTTAATATAAAAATGCGATCTGGTTTTCCTGAGGCGCTACAACTGGAACAACATTTTCTTCCCTTGTGACAAACTCTAAGGGGTAACCTGCCCCTGCCGCTGTGATGAAACAGATCTGCTAAAGAGATGAGAGTAGGTGATCCCAATTGAGATAAACTACTTTTCAAAACACTAGCATATCTGGCAGACCTAGTAGCCACAAATGCTGTGCTCTGACTGAGGCTCTCTAGGATTGCTTTCTTCCCCCCCTTTCTTTTTTCTCAAATTTAAAGTGCTCGCTGATCAAAATTAGCAGGATTTAGCAAGGACAACAAACAATCCTTGCTTAATTGCACATTTATTTTCATGTTCAGGTGGCAATAATGAGATCCTAAGCCAACATTCAAGTGAACAGCTGCAGTAGCCTGTGTGTGCTGAAATTACAGCATTTCTCAGCTATAGAACCATCTGCTCTGAATAAAGTGATACTAATATGTTTTACAAATAATGCATATTCCACTGATAGGTTGAATACAACTGTTCATAAAACATAAAGTAGGTCTTCAGCAGTTACTAAATATTTTCCACCCAGAAAAATAGTTTGAGATAAATTTACAGTTTTCAAACAATTTCTTAGAATAAGACTTGTAAATATACTTTTGAAGTAGTAATCAAAAATACACAGTATACAGGTTTTTAAAGTTACTGCAGTTTAGTATTCAGACCATACCAAAACCATTTTAGTACAATACTACTCTTCAATTATCCACCGGGCTTTTTGAATTAGTACTATAATTGACATTAGAAAGACAAGCCACTGCAGTTAATTTCTACAGGAGATGACCATATTATGGAAAAAGTTGTCATGGTACACCGGTGTGCTCCAGGCTCTCACTGAATAGGGACACAACCTACAGCCTGTAACAAAACGTAGAGGAGAGTTAACATAGAGGAGAGTTAAGGTAGAGGAGAGGAGAGTTAACATTCCAAATGTGACATTAAAGAGTTTGGTATGGCCTCAGCACTATTAACATGTAAAAAAGTAGCCTACAGAATTTAAGAAAAATCCCACAGACCCCAGTCCAAGGCTCTGCTGCCCACGAACCACTTCTAAGCAGAGAAGCCACATCACACAGTCTGACTGCCATGTTAGTTTGGAGTTGCCGTCTGCAATATGGACACAAAAAGTACCGTACGTTAGATTAGCAAGATAATGCAACAAATAAGTTTGTACAAATTTACAGTAATTGCATTTATATTCCCAGCACGTCCATGCAGTGTGGCTTAACTGGATTTGAGGCAATTCCAATCTAATATTTCCAAATTCCATCCTAAAGTTATTTTTCTTACGGGAAATAAGATGCTTATTTTTAAGGAGATTTAAAAGATAATGCAGTCTAGTTCCCCCTGCATCTATGCTGGAAACCACCTCCAGAACCACACCATGCCTAAAAGGAACTATACCACAAAACAAATTTTTAAATCTTCAAGACTTAAGTAAAAGGAAAGAAAATGCAGTGAGTCAATTTTCCATTAGCACATAAAATGACCATGCACCACTGAAAAACAGCTCCCCTTACACACCTTTCCCAACACAAAAAAAATACACAAGACAACAAACTACTTTGCTAGAATCCAGTCTGTTCTTAAAATCCTAGGGTTTAAAAATCAAGTAAATGAAATCTTGCACAGATAGATCAGTAAATTTCCTTGCAATAGCTGTTTAGGAGTACCACTGGACATACAAGTAGCAGTAGACTTAAGGATTTCTTAAGTGGAATAACTGGAGCAAAATATGCAAGAGTTCCTCATAAGGGTATTTTTGTCCCCAAGCACATTGTTGCTTGTTTTTAAATATAACATCATTGCAAACCCAGTTGGATTTGAATTGAGTAGTGCTAGGACACCACAAAAGCTAATGGGCCATTCGTAGATGACTACAAGTGGTCCAGATGTTAAACGTAATCACAATACTAACACAAATAGAAGACTCCTGACTGTTGCCACAGCTTGAGACTGGTATAAATGCAAGAGACCCTTCTTGCCTCTGGTTAGCAGATTAGGCAAGTCTAAACTTGATAAAAAAGCCCAAGGACTCAGATTTTGGAAGGCTGCTGCATCCAGGGTTTATGAACATATACTTCAAAACAACTTTTCCTATTTTAAAACTGTGTAAGTTAGTCTTCATTTCAATTTGCTACCAAAGTCCATATGGTTAGCTGACTTCATGCCTGGTCTTTATTTCTAACTGAGGTTGATAAAGACCTTTAATCACCTCTTTTTATGCACAATACCGAGGCTTTGGTATCAGCTGAAAGCTTGGAAGCCAACCTCTCTGGTCTCCACCCAAAACCAATACTAACAACTGCACTTCTGAAGCTCTCCGTTTTATACAGGCAAGTATGTTTGATAAACTGCTTATTACGTGAACAAAAGCTTAAAGTCTCAACTGACTTCTTTTAAGTCCAGACAAGCTTTATTAAGGAGACTGCATTAAAGTAGCAGTCTACGCACAACTCTGTCCTACAGAGGCTCTAGTGATGTGCATAAGACTTGGATCTCTATGGCTCTCAGCAAAGCAGCATGACCAACACAGCATTTGCTTCCTGTGAGCCATGGGCTGCCTAGGACAGCCTACTTGTGCATACAGGACTTCATTGTACTCGCTACCTAGACATCAACATGCCCTCGAGCACTGCAACACTTCTCAAAAAAGCAAAGAGCACCTCTCATTTGAAGTGCTTCCAGTTTGCATAACACATCTATCTTCACTGAAGTGCTCCACAAGGTACTTGCAGCAATGTACAAGTCAGCTCTCTGCCGCACCATTATGTCTCAAAACCAAAGTTTGCTCTACCAATTCTTTTACCATTTTTATTACTTTCAAAGCTGTACAGAATGCTCTTTCACATCTCATTCAGAGAACTAGAGTTCTTACCCTTTTATTTACACTTCTACCTGACCTGGAAGAAATAAAGGATATAGCTAATTATACCAAAGGAAAAAAGTAGTTTAAAAAACATTTTCCAGCCTAAACACTGTACTTTAACATTAAACTGGCATATTAATATAGAATTCAAACTGTGAATAGTATCAAAAAAAGTTGTAAAATACTCAACTACTTAGTAAAATACTGAACTACTTACTGAAGAATCACTAGTACCATTGAAAAAGCCAATACAGTTTTTGACTATTAGCCTCAGAGACAGTATTAAACTTCAGATTAAAATAGCTCAGCAGTTACTGCACTCAAAACGTAAGAAATCCATAAATTCAGGAAACAAGGCTCTATGCTTATTAAAGAAATGTAAGTTTGTCTTAAAATACATTCAGATTAAGAGAACAATTACGTGAAGTTGGAAAAGGAAATCTGCTCTTTCTTTACAGTCCTAAAAGAAAGCAAAACTGAAGATAGTTGTTCAGTTCAGCAAACTGAGTGGTTCCATTTGTTAATATGCAGTACATGGGAGCCATCTACCTTTCAATAAACTTACTTTTAATTCACCAAGAACAGTTAAGATTTTAAATCCAAACACTCTTAAACACTGTTTGTGGCATTAAGTGTATCCCAGTTTCTAATTAGCAGCAGTTCAAGTCATGAGTAAGGTTTGCCTAGCAGAGAAGCAAGTAGGCTTTTCTTTTTTTTAAAGGCCAAATACATCCAAAGTTAAAAAGCCGTATGGTTTATGCGAGTAGTTCTGGTTGCCATAGAACAATTTCCATTGTATCAACAGTAGATTTTTATATGAGAGCTTTAGAAAATAAACCAGAGCTAGAAAGATGAAGACCAGCAAAACAATAGTCACAGTGGTCTACTATTTTCTCTAAAAAACAGGTATTTTTCAACTGCCCATGCTCAGCTAAAAAATGGAAGCTGAGGCTGGATCCTGGCAATGTTGAGGCAGAACAAAGGTGAGATGACAAAACAGAAAAGATTTCAACCACTGTTACTACCTCAGGTGCACATGCTAGGGAGAAACCTTTAGTGCATCACACTTCTGGCCAAAGCCTCTCTACCACCTGTTTTGATTCATACCTGTGCATCCCTGTCATTGAGGGAAAAAAAACCCCAACTGTTTCACATAGGTTATATATACAGAATTCACCTCTATTTATAGACACCACACCAAAAATCACTACACAGATGCCTGCCATCGTTAAGCTATATACTTCTAAATGGTATTATTACATAAAGGTGATTACAGAAAAATCAGCTCCCTGAATGCAATGCTTCAGCACCCTGAATGCACAGTATGCGATGCTTCTGGAAACACTTAGCATTCCTGCAAAACACCCAAGAAGCTATGGGATGCTCTAGACTATGCCACACTAATGCTGCTAGTGTATGAGGAAAGAAGCCAGCATAAAGATTTGCAAGCAGTTCTGAAAAAATAAACACATGTACAACAAGGTGAGGACATTGCTCGACAATGGAGTAATCCAGAGACCATGCAGGAGCTCTTGTGTCTGACTGCAGTTACTGACTAATTATTACCTTGTCAGCTGGAGTAAAGAGAGGGAAATGTACAGGGTAAGTTAGAAACCATACTAGAAATAGCAACTCTAATAGTTCTCTTTACAGAAGACAAGTACCTGCATTCTGTTAAGTGATCAGTTCAAGTAAGACTCCAATAAAGTAAAACCATTTTTATGTTCCTAATTATTCAGGTCAATTTAGACACGTAACCAACTCTCCCAACATAGCTTACTCCATGAGCAAGACAGCATCAACATGCAGCATTAATTAGCTTATGCACAGGATGAAAGAACACAAAATTATACTCTTCCTCCTCTTCACTGCCCTCTTTCATTTAAAAAAGTTTAAAATCAGCTGAAGGAAAATTATTACTTTTGTCATATTTGAAATCCTAACTAAGTGTCAAGTTGGGCCTGTCTGAACACAGCTGATATTGTTGATGTTCAGCAACAGTTCCACCAAAACTACCACTGGATCATACAGACAGCTGTTCAGGCCTCAAACAAGTTGTGAACAATTCCAGGCTTGATCAATACTTTAAATGAGACCATTGTTTAAAGGAAATTATATGCTCAGAGTTTTTGATATGCTCAGAGTTTTCAACAGCACCCTACCATTCACAAAATCTTGCCAACTACAGTTTTTGGTCTTACTCCCTTAAACACTTGTGCATACTGTCCCAGTCTCATGTGCTAGCTCCCAGCCAAGTGCTCTCCAAGGCAATACAATTCTGTCAAAATGCCTAGTATCCTGCAAGAAGTAACAGTATCTTACTGCAGACATTTTCCTTCAGCCTTACACATCTGCAGTCCTCTTGAGCCTACTGAGAGTAACAGAAGAAAACAGATTTAATGGCGTGAAAGGGTACAACTTGAGGACTCTTCAAATACAACATCTTGATAGCTTGAAGGGTTTCAAAGTCAACATCCACTTCTAAACATACGCTGCATGCTCCACTTGAACTAGCTAGGATGCTTACTTCCAATTTTGCAGCATTTATCTCACTATTCCAGTTGGGCTGTGTAAAACTTTTCCCTTTTCACACTGCAGTTACATCCTTCTGCCCCACCGGCAATTTCAAAAGCCTAAGTTTTACCAAGGACCATGAAAAGGAAGCAAACCAGGTTGGTCTGACTCTGAAGAGATGCCCAAATTTAAAAACAAAAGTTAGAAAAACAGCTTCTTCCTAATCAAGAAAGCATGTGTCAGTCAGCTTCAAGGCCACCTACTGCTTCTTTTACTCTCCCATTCCTCTCCCTGAAGGAGAACATAGCTAAAAGGTTTTGTCCCTCATGCATCCAACTTTCCTCAGTGCAATGGAGGGCCCAGCAATGGATGACAGGACTCATCTTCCAGGCTGAAGACAAGGTTAGAGGAACACTTCTGCTCCACTGATCTTTCATGGCAGCACTCCTCTTGCTCACAACTACCTGGCAAACTGGAGAGATGGTTGGGCCCAAAAGCCAGTAGTATCACAGTCCAACCGAGGCATGTGCCAGCAGACCCACTGGGCCATATCTTGAGAACATGGTATCTCCATCACAGTCCTACCCTTCAAGCTGCAGGATGAATCCTCTCGACCTCCTCCCTTCAGGGGAGGTTTTTGGTCTCCAACAGTAAACTTTGATCTCAAGTGTAGAGTAGGCAAGGAAGAAGTTGCATGACTGAATATCGCTCCCCCTT